CCCTCCCTCCCTCGTTCCTTCTCCCCCTTCTCTACTCTCCCCTCCCCTTACCAACATGAATTGTCAGGCCTTCTCCTGTTCTCTCCCTCTCAGCCTCCCACAATTTCTCTGAATCCCTTCCCTCTACCCTTTCACTATTTACCCCCTCCCCCTCTACCTCCCTCTCTCCCTTTCTTTCTCTCTCTCTCTCTTTCTCCCCCTCCCTCCCTCCACCCTCCCTCACTCACTCTCCCTCTCCCTCACACTCACCCTTAAGCTCCTAATCGCTGTGTAGACTATTTAAGGAAAGACAACCCCGCTCTCTAATATTCTCTGCTCTCACCTACCGGGTTTTCAATGGACTTCTTTGTTACTCGTTAGGAACCTCTGTAGATAACCCAAAGATAAGGAACTAACTGGTCCACATGTCTGCGTTGTAGGGAATAATTGAAAGCTTCAGACGACAGGCACCCACTCTTTGGCCAGAAACCTACCAGGTGAGACTGCTCTAGCACTTATATATCCCTGCACGACAATGAGCTGCTCACATTACATCTGATAGGCAATGACGAACTTGTTCTTATACCATACTTATGACAACCTTCAATCTGAGGCCGACTCAGTTGAACACCCTCTGTACTCCGTTTTCCTGAACCCACAGCTCGACACACTACACACCCAACCCCCCTTGGACCCCCGTTCTAACACGCCTTCCGCTAATTCGGCATTCTTATTCATATTATCGCTTTTTTGAAAACCGTTGTAAAGCCTTTTTTTAGGTTCCTTTCAAGTCACGCCCATTACACTAGAAACCCCCTCCGTAGTTTGAGGAGAATCCCTCCGCTAACATGCATCCTTTGGATGGTTGTACTCTCTTCCTACAGGATGAAGAAGTCATCAGCAAGGGCAGCCACGCTGAGCTTGCTCCTAATATCGTGCCTTTCGCCATGTTGCGTACGGCTCACTCGCAACTGGTCATGATGACTCTCCCTGCTGACATCCTGCTCAAGGTTCACGAGGCTTCTCGGACACCCTTCCTGGTAGAAACGCTCACATTCAGCGATTGGTCGGTCCTCAGCGGCATCTATGAGAATCATCCGGAAGCTTTAGACAAACAGTTGCAGGCTCTAGCAATCAATGTCAGGATCGTTGCGTCAAGGAACAAAATAGAGAGTAGGGAGATCAATAAGATCATTGCGAATGGAGAAAGGATCATATTGGGGAAATTTGGATATAGTACGACACACCTGACTGAGGTCGGAGACATAGATGTCTCAGAACAAGTTAATGTTAGAAGACAGGAGAGGAGAAGAAGGATTGGGCTCTCACAAGCAGAAATAGAGTACCTAGAAAAACAGCAGGAGATTAGACTTAACACGGTCCTTAGTACGGCATCGACTGCTGCAGATGCTGCTGGGAGGGCACACAAACTGGGACAAGAAAGCCACTTTCTCCCCCTGGCTTCTGGCTCGTGGATCGAAAGGCAGAGCAAGTTCGTTTCACATAAGCTATGGCACTTGGACAACTTCAACTATGCAGCTCCCATCTCGATTGAGGCCTTCAAGGCTCTGGCCAATCTCTCGGGCAAAGAACTACAGAAGTGCAAGGAGGCCGCAGATAACTTTGCACTTCATCTCCCGGCCAACAGGCCAGCCCTTGATGGGAATTTTCCCATCTTAGCCATCCTGGACAAGACCAAGTGTGCCATCTCCAAGCAACTCCTTATCCAGAAGGCGTTCCCCAGAGCACCGCAGACGCTGGAGGAAGTCAAGAAAATGTGGAACACCGGAAGAGACTACCTCAAGTGCACTTGCAGCACCAACTGTGGGAAAACCATCACGTGGTTTGACCATTTCATTTGGTACTACATTGCCAATTTGGATTTCTTCGATCCAAAGGCCCCTTCAGACATCACCCGAATGCTGGATTTTCAGCAACGACTGAAAACGGAGTGGAGGTTGCTAGTCTTGGCACAAGTTTCCTTCCTCTACATGAGGAAGATGATGACCAAGATACTGGAGCGACTCATCGACGAGCCCGATAGTACCGCCGAACAGCTGCTTGATCACCCGTCATTGAAGGGTGTACCTTTCGCCAACAGGTTTGTAGCGATTCTTCTTCCTAACGAAGGAGAACGGATCCCGGCCTCCGCAACAAGCAAAAGAAGGCTGGACACTCCGACTTCGGACATGGTCCAGAGGAGCAGATCCAGGCAAACGGCACTATCCTTCACGCCTGCCAGGAACCCTCAACAAAACGGAACAACCCCTCCTCCTCCCCCAGCAACAGTCGGTCTTCAAACTCCACATGGTACTCCTGGGACGGACAACCCCCTTGCACAGAAGGTCACCACCCCACAGACACAACGCCCGCAATTTGCCCAGTCTGTACCTGCACACGCCTTCCCACCCCAAGCCCAAGCCAATCCCGCACACAACTCCTCTTCGGCTACACCGGCCGCTGCACCAGCTCTCCACACGGTCCAAGCCGCCCAATCCACAGCACCACGACAGTCAATGATAGACGGCCGGCCAAGCCCAAAAGGCCCAGAAACAATCGAAGGAATGGCGCTGCAAAGAGACCCCGTGTTCCTAAAGGCATTGCGGCACAGGCTCCAGCCAACGCCCTCAGGTCACAAGCTCAGATGCTTGTTGCCAATGCTTTACAGACTGCACACAACACTAACTGCTCCCAACGGCCACTTCTCCCCCTTCCTGTCCAGCGCAATGCCAATCCCTCTGATAACCCTCTGAGACTACTTCACCCCGTGCAAGCTCGCTCTGCCCCTGTCAGCTGGCTTCCCCCCATACAACACTTCTTGGAACATCTTCCCAACAGACAATCACATCCCCCTGCCTCACCGACACACAACATTCCAGTCGTCGTTGTCACGGACAGATCTCCCTCGCCTGGAGCCAGACCCCACACCGCTATCAACGTTGGGTCCCCCTCCCCGGACACACCAGTCAAAGCTATTAGTTCCTTTGGTCACATCTTGCAGGGCTTCGATATAGCGGACTCACTGTTAACAACCTGCTGCGCTGGTGATGTGGAAGTCGTCCCCGAGACTCAAGAACTCACTGGAGCCAAGAATGCCAAACGAGGTCTGAGACTGGAGTACGATCAGGAACGCTTCGCACTCACAACGAGTTGAGAACCTTCAACAGAAAGACTCTATGCTCGCAGTCTCACCCACCCTGAGTCCGACGATTGGCTTCGCTACTGTACCTAGGAACTCTCATAGTATACGTCTTCAGTTATCTGTTGTCTCTGAACATATCTTGAGAAGATACACCCTCTCCGGTAGTGTTTGTTTCCTCCCCCCCTCTTTTTTGCATATAGGCCCCCTTATAAGAAAAATAGGTTCTTCAATTTTTCCAAATAGATGCTCCCTTGCCACACACCCGGTTCATACGACTCTGCCACTGAAATAAGGGGCTATCCCCACATCCTTCTCCATTGTAGTTTTTTTCGAAAAAACGTTTTCAGAAGTTCAAACCTCTGTGTCACGGAGACGGCTACCGGCCATGATTCAACTCACCCTACCTCCTGCTAACCTGCAGTCGCCTTCCCCTCCCCCTCCTCTCTCCACTCTCCTCTCTCACTCTCTTCTCCCCTTTTCTCTGTGCCCCCGTTCGTCTCTCTGCCTCGCTCTTGCTCTCCCGCTCGCTCGCTAGCTACCTCTCTCTCTCTCTCTCTCTCCCTCTCTCTCTCTCTCTCTCTCTCTCTCTCTCTCTCTCTCTCTCTCTCTCTCTCTCTCTCTCTCTCTCTTCTTCTCCCTCTCTCTCCTTCTCTCTCTTTCTCGCGCTCTCTCTTCCTTTCCCTTTCTCCCTCCTTCTCCCTAGCTCTCCACCTTCCCCTTCTCCCTATCACTCACTCTCTTTCTCTCCCTTTCCTTCTCCCTGTCTCCCTCAATCTCTCCCTCCTTTTTTGATTTGCATTAGATACAACTGAAGATGTTAATCGTGCAATAGGTTGACGTACTCGAGACGCTCTCTCCCTTTCTCTCTCTCCCTTTCTCCCCTTTCTCTCTGCCCCCGTTCCTCTTTCTGCCTC